ATCAACAGCTTTTTCTGCTAACACATCAGCCTCTTGTTTGATATTACATGATCGAATAAAAGAGTATAAACCGTTAAGTGAAAGTGGGAAAAGATAACTGTTTTCATTCATTTATTTCCAGAAAACCCCGATAGTCGGTAGCGCAAATTTAAGAGAATATTAATACATTGACAAAACTTTGGAAATCAGTTTTTTTTGCTGATAGTGAAATTTTAATCGCGGTTGGTAAAAAATCGGTATTATCATCGAAGATAATTTATCGAGGTCGGTAAAAAAAAAATCGCAATCAATCGCTGCCGATGATTTATCGCCAAAAAGTTATCGCAATCGGTATCATCACTGAAGATAACTTATCGAGTACAGTAGAGAATAATATTATTGCTGTCGATAACTTAAGTCATCACAGTTAGTCATCCATATTATCACTGTCGGTGAGTCGATAACTTATCGTCAAAGTTATCGCGGTCGGTAATTAGTGCGGATTAGAACCCACTTTTGACTCGGCCGGTATTGCAGAGTGATCCGGAACCGACCCTACTTTTCTACTTGGGTGCGACCCGAAAGGTCCACACGACCATCTTCCCAGTGGAAAAAATGAAAAAACAATTCGAATAGAACCCGTTTCCATTTTTTATAACAAATGGAATTGTTATAAACGAAATGAGTCTGTTTATATTCATTTGATATGGTTAGTTACTTTATTTCAGTAAAAGAAAAAATTGTGCGTTAGAAGAATTCGAATATACCTCATAGATCCTTTCATTCATTATTTACAACAAATTTCATTGTCATACACGAAAAAAGTATGTTTTCATTTATGTCATACGGTAGGTAACATTTTTTTAGTAAAAGAAAAAATTATGCGTTGAAAGTACTCATATAGATAGAAAGAGTCCCTATTTTTATTATTTAAAACTTATTATTTAAATATTACTATGATCAATAATCACTTGTTGGCAACAATGTTCAATCGTTATAAACACAATTCCATATTATTGACAATTATTATTGACTATTATAGCGTCTTTAATTCTGTTTTCTCAATCCTAAAACGAGTTTAAAATTCCTTCATTGCTGATTTCGTTTTTTAAAAATTTTTTTTTTAAGATAAAATATTGTCATCATATTTTCATACAAGTATTCTAATCATTCAATATTCATATTTTTTAAAAGATTTCGAAATTCCGTCTAAAAAATGGTATAATTTGTAAATTGAGAAATTCAGGTCATTTTCCATTTTTGCTAGTTTTTTGGTTCTGCAAAAAGAATGGCTCGACCGATTTTCCTGAAAACTTTTTCAGTTCTAAGTTACGTAATTATGTGTCGAATGCAGTTGGTTTCACATCGATATCATTTTTTGTTCTCGAGATAATCGAGGCGAAAAATAATTCCGAACGCACGTACGAACATACGCACATACGTACATACGTACATTCACACACACAGACGTCCACTGGAAAACGGTCGTATTCGACTCTGGGGACCTTAAAACGTGGAGATATGTCAAAATTCGGGATTCGCAAAATCGGACCCATTACTATAACTTTCCACCGGGAAGTTAAAATATTTATAGGCTAGGAAAAATGTACTCATCATTGTGTTTTTTTGTTATAAACAATTTTTTTTCATTAGAACCTAAACATTTTCATTCATAACTTTTTAGTTATGCAGGAATCGACGATACTTCATAGCACATTTTTTGTTCTATACCGTCCAACGAAGATTTCTGTCATCTTACTTTTCTTATTTTCCGCTGGTTTTTTGAGATATTCTATTCCAAAACAAAACATTTTTTTAGTATAAGATCGACCAAACGAAAATAAATTCTGAATCAAAGCCCTTAATTTATTACAAATTTCGATTTCATATAAAATAAACCTCTGTTTAAAGTGGAAGGTTAGATTCGCTCAATAAATTGCACTCTTACTGGACTAATTAGTAAGAGAAATTTGGGTATAAAATCAGTATAAAAAATTAATATAACAACCGATAATCCTAGAAATATTTTGGTATTGTTTTGAAAATGTTTTGGTATATAACTAGGATACTTCTAACTTTATACCCGAACTTAATGTATTATTTTGGTGAGTTTCAAGTAAATTCAAATTCGCTAGGGGTAGCTATTGTTTTTTAGAATTAGGCTATTCGCGGATAAAGTCGCAGGAATCTGCTAATATTATTTAAAAAGAGAACATTAGAACGATTTCAATACTGTTTGATAGGTGTCAGTTTGTGAAGTCTTTATAGGGAATAAATAAGTTGAAAAGGCCAATACAACTTGAATAACGTATTTTCTTATTCTAATATTTTTCAATATAATTGGCTGTTTTCTTGTTTCTGTATTTTTCTATCAGAAAGAAAATTATTCGATAAAATAATACGACATAAAAAATATTTTCTTACTATTGGATATTCTAATACGATTTTATATTTTTCACTTGGTTTGATTCAATCACGTTCCTATAGGAAATGAACAGACTGGAAAGGAATGTACGATATAAAAAATACTATTATCCCTGATGGATTTATGTTAACTGTTAAATGAGAGTTCCAATTAGGTTAATAGTAAACTTAGCTGTTACTTCGAGTTATTTTAGCGTAACTTTACCTTAAAATAAATATAAATCAACTGTTAGAATGAGCGATTTATCAACTCTAAGTTAACCATTCACAAACGGTTGCTTGAGAGTTGATCATTGGTCAATTGAACGTAACATTAATTCATAATGAACGCATTCGTTTGAAAGTTGTTTTTTTTTGCAACTGTTGCTTTATGTCTTTAAAAAAAAGAAAAGTTTCATTCGAGTTAACAATTAATTGAACATTGCATTTTAGTTAAACAACCGTTTTTTTATTGCACATTGTGACTGTTGTTTTAAGAGGGGAAAAGTTCAACTTATTAAATAATGCGGAATCCTATTAAGATTTTATATATTATAGATATAATTTTTGTAATCCTATTAGCATTTGTTAATAGTAAAAATCAGAATTCTATCGGTTTATAATATTCATGCTGAATCCGATAAAAATCCATATTTTTCGATTTAACTTCATTTAAAACCAAATATTTCTCTGGCTAAACCTATTTGAATTCTTTATTTCCAATGGGAAGTTTTTAAAGATTTATAGAATTTGACATATTTTAATAGAATTGAATCCTTATAATCCTTTCTAGGGTTATAAATAAAGAACTAGTAATAAACAGTAACTACTATATAGCAGTTAGTGTTAAGTAACTCTCTATTTCCCATTAAAACTCTTCGATGTTGTCCTATAGAAACAATAAAAATCGTATTCAAAAATACTTTTATGGAATAAAAATATTCAAGTAGTATTTTCTTGGAGAAAAAGTCCATTTCCTATTAACCCTTAAACTCACAACTGGGGTCCAAATAAACACCACGCAAACATCGAGCTAAAATCCTGAAGTAGCAAACTGCAATATTGACTTCCAGTCTTAACCACAATTTAGTTCAAAGATATCTGAGCAATATCAGATCGGTACTACTTCTATACAGACAAAAAATTTGTGTTAAAATTAGTAGATTTCACATGTCCAAAACGGTCCACTCAATTGTTTGTGTCATTTTACCATCAAGTGTATGTGTCAAATTTTTACACAAAATTTGTGTCAATGATATGACACACAAGAGAACTAATTTAACATAAATTTTGTGTTAATTCGACACAACAAATTTTTTATAATTTTACACAATGATTTGTTTAATCAACTAATTTAGAATGTTGAAGTTTACTCAATGAATGAGTTTATTAATAAAAGTAATTTAAATAAATAAATAATATTTTGTTGGATTTCATGTATGTTGAATACCAATTTCACGTATGTAATACACTAAATAATAGTTACATTAAAATACACTTCTTTTATGTTGGTGGTTTTTCAACTTTTTAACCCATTAGAAAGTTATTGAAATTGGGTCGATTGGTGAAATTTGAATTTTCATCATATTTCCACGTTTCATGGTATTTGCAAGCATACTGACCAATTTTCAGAATGATGTGTGTGTGTACGTACGTACGTACGTATGTATGGACGTCAGGATTTTTTTGTTTTCGATATCTCAAGAACGGATTGAGATATCGACTTCAACCAAAATTAATTCGAAAGATATTATCAAAAAGAGGATCTAAGTGAAATTTGAATGAATTCGGTCGAGCCGTTTTTTTATAACAAAACCTAATGCGTATATGACATGGATTCGAATGCTTTCAAAAAAATAATATTATTAACGATGAAATATGACGCGTAAACATTACAAATTGTTTATAACAATACGAATTTGTTATAAACAATTCAAAATTATATTTATTGTTTAGTAATGTGTTTATCACATGGATTTGAATGCTTTCAAAAAAATAATATTATTAATGATGTGTTATGACTTTTAACAATCACGCATTGTTTATAGTAATATGAATTTGTTATAAACAATTACTAATGGAAAGTTAGTCGTGTTAGCACAGACAAAGTGTGCTCAGACCTATTTTTATTCATTTCTTATTGTTATAATTATTCGTATCAACAATGTATTCAATACACATTGAAAATTGATTTTAATGTATAACACAATTTTTATGTTGAAAATACACAAAAAAATGTACTTTCATTTATCTTTCGTTACACGAAGATTGTGTTACTATTGTGTTGTTCATAACTTATTGACATTTTTATTGTGTTAAATCGAAATTTGTGTCAATACTTTCATTTAACACAAACAATAAATGTTAAATTAACACAGAGTTGTGTTGCTCAATTAACAAAATTTGAACTACTACATTTTTTTTACACAAAACACAAAATTTTTTGGTCTGTAGTTGTATATTTTAAAAAAATACTTGAAATATAGTTTTTAATTTTCCGAGTTCTGTCAATTTTAAGTATCTAGATAAATATACTTTTTTGATGGAATAAAGTGAATACAATTTTTTCTCTAGAGCCCGAGAACTCTCCTTTGAAACACTTTTTTTATGATTTTCAGGTATTCTGGCACATGTTTGTTTTCTCGCAGCATTCTTTTGGCTCAATACTATGTGTTTTAATATTTGGTGGACTTTTCGGTAAGTGTTATTCATTTCTAACTAGCTATTGCTTCCGACTTCGTTTGCCTAGATTTTTCAAAATAAAAATTGCGTAAATGAATAAAATTGGGATTTGTATTATGCATTCAAAAAGGTTATGTGGAGTTCAGAAATCTTCAATGTTTGTTTTTAAACGATTATTTTTACAAGTATCTGTAGTGATGGGTTCAATATAAATCGCTAACACAATAATTCAATAAAAGAAACGCGATATTTATGAACATTAGAAATTAAAAAGGGATCAAATGATCGAAGTTTTTAAGGTATTTAATTCAATTTTATGTTTAAAGCAGAGTAATGATGTTAACCGTCAGATGTTTAGAACAGAACTGACGTACAATGAAAAAGAACGGTGAGAGTAAAAAGCTCCAAAACTAATATATAAAATAGAGGCTTAAAGTACCTTTTCATGAAAGTTTTAATTGCAGTTCAGACATTAATTAATTGAAATGACAAAAACAAAACTATGTGTGCATTAATCTGAGTAATATATATTGCTCGGCCCGTAAATCTGGACTGAATTGGAACGAGTGATATTGACTTCAACCGTGTATATTTTTAATAATATTACAAAAACGTTTCAGGATGAACATTGCAACTTTAGACCAACAATTGAGAAATTAATGCAAGACTAACGTTCTGAGACTATTAAATTCTGAACATATAAACTTTCAATGTTAATACTTACAGATCTCCAGTCGTTTTCAATCTATTTTTCATTAGAATAGCATGAAAAAAATGTTTTCAAAATCGTTTATATTTACATCATCTGAACTAGTTGATTTACTAGATATTTAAGAATGAAAAATTTTCATAAATATTATATGAAATTCTTACAGAGATCTGAGACCTGCTACTTTAGAGAAGAGTCAAGAGACTTTGAGGCTCAGAGTATACGCTTGTTACGCATGGGGTGGCCCTTTACTCATCGCTGGAGTTGCTGCTTTGTTTGATCATTTACCAGCTGAAAATCATTATTCTTTTTTGAAGCCAAAATTTGGTGAAAAAATGTGTTGGTTTTATGGTAAGTTATTTTTGAAATATTTGAAAAACACGCGAGTCAAAATTTTTCTATTATTTTAATGCTGAGCCCACTGAGCAGCAAGTGCATTAGATGAAGATTCATTTATCACCAGAAAATTAACAGAAATCAGTTACAGTTGATATACACAGAGGATTCTGACTCAGTCTGCAATACCGACCGAGTTAAATTGTGGAATCTAATCCACGTTAAACTTTACCGATTGCGATGAATTAAATGACGATAATAGCTCTGTTTTACCGATCATGGTGAATTTAATTAACATCAGTCAGTATATCATTGGTTATTAATTAAAAGTTTTATTATCCGTCAGTATTACTTTTTTAGATTCAAGAAGCCATTCAGCAATGAATTTTTACACTATTATATAATATCTATACACAATTCATTTGTTCATAAAAATTACATTTATAATAATAATAATAAGAAAGTATATTATATTGAGTAATCAGCTCCAGCGGAGGCGAACATACGTGCAAAAGAAGAGAGTAATGGTCCATCGAAGTTAGACCTGAAATTGCAATTTTTTAACCTTTCAACCTCCAACCAAAAAGTAAAACTTTAAATGCATTTTTCGTGAAAACTGCGATAGTCCAGTCAATGTGCATTTTTAATACGAAATTTCGTGGCAAAAGTCGGGATCGGGCTTATTTTACAGAGAAAAATGCGCTGAATTCAATGAAATAATACCCAGCCAAAAAACCAGCCGCGTCACATTTTTTTGTTGATTTAAAAATTAATTTTTCTGATAAATCCAGATATTTTATGTAATATCTCGTAAATGAAGTAATAATCAGGCATACTTGACTGGAAAAAATTTTTTCTTTAGACTTTAAGAAATATTTTAGTCACCTTACGTTTTGTGAATTCATTTCTATTTTTGAAATTTTTTATCTCAAGAAGTTAAAAAAATAATTTACTGTGGCAGCCATCGTTACTGATTATTACGCTAATTTATCGGTATTATCGATCGATTAGAAAACTGTTATACCAATAATACACGAATACACAGCACATGTGACAGTCCTGGTGATTCGCCCCTTTAAAGAGATGAGGGACCGCTTCCGGACAGAGCTACGAACATTACCAGTCTGCCATAGTTAGGCTGAGATTCTCGCAGCTCGTATGCAGAAAGCGGTCATTCTTGGTTCTCGCCATATCCTGAGACGTGTGAATTAAATGACTAAACGGCTGCAGCCCCAGCTTTCCCTGAAATCGGATGTCTGTAGGATAATCCCGTCTAGTCAGGCCTCAGGTGGGTCGGAGCCCTGAGATTCCTGGTCAGACATCTTTGACGAACCGAAAAGCAATAATAATTACATTGATCTTGCTTTCTTATCATATTGTAAAATATAGCGAAATAATAACTTCATGAAAATTATAAAAGAATTAAAACGTTTATTAAATCAAATTGATGAAACTTAAAGACAAGAAAAACGTCCGGTTAGCTCAAGTCTCAGTCAGAAATTGGAGATAAACAAATTCTCCTTTTGTTGCTATAAACAACTTAATCGTCAAGCAATTGTCGTCAACTAACAAACTGTCGTTAGTCAAATAATTCAAAGATAGCAATATTCATATATTTTACGCTTCTCCCGATTTTCTAAAAATTGCCACCTGGCAATTCATAATAGTTGAGTAAAATATTGGATTAGGCTGAGATAAAAAAAAACATTCAGAATCTACAATTAAAATAGAACAATTATTCATTATTAACTAAAAACATTAAATTGTAATTCAGCCTAGCTGCCAATATTGCCGCTTTTTAACTCTACCTGTTAAAAATAAAATGAAATGAAATTTTCAGGAGGGAAAAATCCTGCGGCGGGTAAAAACCTCCTCAACAGGTTAAGAAAATCTAAGCTAAACTTATATCATGATTCTATACAATTTAAATTATTCTTGAAATGAGAAGTCCATCAGTCAAATTAAATAAATGATTATTTTTTTGTGAATCTTTCATCCTTCTTCCCTTTCTTCCCAATGGAATGGAATGGAACCTGTGGAAAGAATCTTTCAAAAATTCAAGAGTTGAAAATATCAAGAAATCGGGGACAGGTCGATGTGTTAAGCAAATAATTTCAGAAAGATTAAAGCATTTAGTTTTGAAAATAAAAGCAAAATTTCATTGCTGAAAACATAGTATAAGAACATTTTTCATCAGAATCAATTTTATGACATTTTTTACAATCACATGGACGTCAAGATAAACCATCAGCATTACCATGGTGAACAGGTCTATGCTGAACCTCAAAATCATATTGAAACAATTTCTAACCATCGAGCTACTTGATCTTTAGGATTTTTAAATGAAAGTAACCATCTAAGAGAAGTATGATCAGTTCTAATTGAAAACCGTTTTCCAAGAAGAAAATGACGAAAATATTCCACCGAAATAACAACAGCTAATAATTTCTTTCTAGTGATACAATAATTCTGTTCACGGTTATTCGAAGTTTTATTTAAATAAGCAATAACCTTTTCTTAATAAATAATTTCATTATTTTTATTAACTGGAATTTTCTGAGATAAAACCGTTCCTATACCAACATCAAAAGCATCAGTATCAAGAATAAATGGATAATTAGGATCAGGATAACCCAGAATAGGTGTAGAAGTTAGAATATTCTTTAATTTTTAAAAAGTTTGAAAAGTGAAACTATTCCAAATGAAATCGCTTTTATCTTCACAAATTAAATAAAGAGGTTATGCCAAAGTAGCAAAATCTTTAATAAATGTTCTATAATACGAACAAAGTCCCAGAAAACTTCTAAGTTGAGATTTATTTTTAGGAACGGGCCAATTTATAATAGCAGAAATTTTATCAGGACAACTCCTCAAACCTTCACCAGAAACAATATGGCCTAAGAAAGTAACTGCCTTTCGGAAAAATATATACTTTTTAGCATTAATTTTGAGATTAGAATGTAAGTCTTTCAAAAACAATTTGAAGATGAGAAAAATGATCATCAAGACTTTTACTACAGATGATAATATCATCAAGATATACTAAACAAATTTTTTCAAGGAGACCATGTAAAACTATATTCATAAATTTTACAAAAGTAGCGGAAGTATTACATGAATCAAAAGGAAGAACTTCAATTTGCCAAAGTTCACTACCAATACAAAAAGCTGTTTTCTCTCGATCTTCAGGAGCAACTTCAACTTGCCAATAACCACTTCTTAAATCAATAGTTGAAAACCATTGAGCACCAAGAACCATATTCAAAATATCTTCTTGATGGGAAATAGGAGTACAATCTTTTACTGTAACATGATTTAATTTTCGAAAATCTACACAAAATCTAATTTCACAACCTTTTTTAGGAACAAGAACAACAGAAGAAGCCTAAGGACCATTACAAGGTTCAATTGCGTCCTGTTGTTTCATTACCTCCATTACTGTATCTACTTTATCCCTATAATGTAAAGGAATACGACGAGGAGTTTGTTTAATTGAATGTGAATTACCAACATTAATTCTATGTTGCAAAATTTTATACTTTCCATTATCAAAAGAGTTTTTAGAACGAATATCTATGTGCTTTAATAATAATTTCTTAAAACGGAGTTGGTTTGCTTCATCTAATAATTAAGAGGATTTTTTAAATAAATCAATAGCGAATTCAGGAAGGACATCAATTTGACGAAAAATTTTATTAGTGGAAACAATTTACTGTCATTAGAACATTTTTTATCAAGCAAATTTTTAAATTCATAAAATAATCCTGATTTGATTAAGAAATCCATACTAAGAATATACTTATCATGAATCTGGGCAAAAACAACTTCTAAATTAATTTTAATATTAGAAATTTCTACGATCTCAATAAAATCAAAATCAAATTCAGTACCTGAAACTGTAAAAATAGAGAGAGAAGAACGATTTGATTTATTTCTTTTTCTATTTGAAAGTAAAACAATTGTGGCGAGGATTTATGTCGCCACAATAAAAAGAAGATATTTTGTGATTTTTATTAATTATTGGGATGTGGGAGTGATAGTTGGATTTCCTTCTTTTGGTGAACTGTTTCGGGTTCTATTGCAGGGTATGCGGATGGGGTAAATTCTGCTCTTTATTAACTTACCTTGAGTCTGTTCGATGACTAACCTTGATGTTACGTCTATGTCGTGAGAAAGCAATTTAGATTCAAACGAGACGAATTAATTTATAAGCAGCCGTGTATTCTTTCCCTGTAATTGCATGCAAATCGCTAAGTCTACGGAGGCCTAGGACTTCGAAATAATTGCATCCAATTCTATAATTGTTGATAATGCAAAACTTTATTTTGCTTCCCCGCGAGTCGGTTCTTACATTGATTAGACAGTAAGAAATGGGATTATCCCCAAATATTAAAACTTGACCTTCAAGCAGTGATAGACGAATGTGAATGACTTAAGAGAAATTTACAGATGACTTGTGAGCTCACCCAATCCTGTAGACTCTGGTGTCCTTGGAGATAACCGAAGAAGTAGTCTGGTCCTCCGACGGCTTGTCTGGTGGTCTGTAGACTGCTCCTCCACACTGTACCCAGGTAATCTCTAGATGTGCTTCCAGGATCCTGGTTGATCGCGTCTCTCTACTTGCACTAGGTGCTTTTTATTTTATCTAGTCTACGTCTAATTGACGACTATATTTTTCCCGCGTGGTGTCGGAGCTGACTGGTGTCGGTTGCTCCCACATGGCACGTGTGCAGGCTCCGCCCTCTTGACATTTGAGCGCCATCGTCAGGTAAGCTTGTAGCAGAATGAAGTTGCTGCTTGGTGGGTAAGGTAGACGAGCATCTTGTCCAACCGTTGGCCCGGTGGAGACCTTGGTAAAGAGTGCAACTGTAACAGCATGAGATCTCCCCAACAGAGGTATTAGAGTAGCAGGTGAATGCCTGGGTTAAGAGAGATTGCCATTTTAGGAGAAGAGACAGAAACTCGATCCCTCGTGTAACAAAAGTGAAGAATTAACTACAATTATATCAGCAGCT